TCATAGCTTTCTTCACAAAGTAAGCTTACTAAATCTATTCCTTGCTTTGTCCTTACATTCCAATGTCTTATCCAGGTAGTATCTTGCTGACACATTTATGTGTAAAATAATTCTTATTTTACAATCTGAACTTCGAATTGTCCTGGTAATTACACTGTGTTTTCTGTTTTGTGTTCCCTATTTTGTAGGCTTCGTAATTTAGATGCAGCACATCCTGTTATGTCCAACTATAAAATTTGTACTAGTTTCTACTGTGTATACTTTTTGAGTAAACCTGCTTAGGGTTGTACTGCTAAATTCTTATATATTAAGATACACTTTAAAATTAAAATATTTGTCTAGGATATTTTTAGAATGTTTGAGTAATATCTGGTGTACTTCTGTGTAGAAAGTAATATTTTAACATTATTTATTCTTATAGGACAATTGATGGCAGTTGATTTTTATTTAACTAATATTGTCATTCTTATTGTGCTTAATCAAAGTAAAAATGAATGTTAATTTAACCTTTGATATCTTGAAAATCCAAGGACAGAAGCCTTTATTTAGTGACGAAATGCAAACATTAGTAATGAAAAATATTCTTCAGAAATTAAAGAAATATACAGGTAAATCTTACTGCGTAGCCTAATATTATGATGACATGTTCTTTCTCACTATATGTAACATATTAGATACCAAGAGTTGTCCAAATGATGAAGGGAAAAGTCTACAAAGCAATATTTGTTTTGATGGTGGAGATATGCTAAGGTTATTATTACCTGTGCATTTCTAAATGGAAATATGTAAAGTCAATTAATATTTAATAGTACTGCCTTAGCTTGTCATTTTATTTTAAGCAAAGTAAATAAACACTTGGCTACTGAGCTAATGTAATTGCAGTGTTTCTCTCCTGTTCACTGTGCCATGGTTTGTAGTTGTTACTTGAAGCCTAGCTTATCTAGTTAGAGCTATTGTCTGCTTAATATAGCTGTTCTCTGCTTCCATCAGTTCAACTTGGAATTATTATTTTTTTCATTTGAGGTAGGGCATTGCGTCTATAACTCGCTCTGTTCATTTCAGAATTCTTTTCAAAATCTGCCTCTGATATGCAGTTTAGGAGCTCTGCCAAGCTGCAAGGCTCAAGGCATCACCACAGCAACTGCAGTGCTTGTTTGTGTAAAATGCCTTGATGAGGTGTGGAAGAAAGGGGGGGGGTATAGAAATCAGTGAACAAATCAGAGTTACCTTTGCAATCAGACCACACATATCACCCCATTTGTAGCTTTTCGGATAGGTGGTGAGATCGAAGAGAAAGAGACAAACTACTTACTCTTGCTTGTATTTTCCCTCCTCCCCATTATTATCCAGACTGATTTTGTGTAGTGACACTGACAACAGTGTCTTTTGTGTGCAAAAGGTGATAGATTTTTTTCATCATTTTCAATTTCATAATAACTTCATTCCTCTATACTTAGTTTGCTTATCCAACTTCCCTTTTTCATTTTCCATTCTTTCTCATTTCCATAACACTAAATACTTCCTAAGCTTTCAATTATATTCAGTTATTTGCATTTAGACCCCTTTCTAATTAATGTTTCTGTCCTACAGTTATAATTGTTCAGTAAATTGTTTAATAGCGGTATGTTATTTTGTTCTTTCTTCTTGTCTTTTGCCCTTACAAGCAGTATTTTCCACCATCCTATTTAGTTGTCAACTATTAGTTGTCAACTAATAGGTAACTTATATGGTATATAAATTAAATTTAAATTAGACAGTGTTATCTGAGATTCAGGGTAGATAGCTTGGGAGCAGATGTCAATCATATATATA